CCTGGCCGGTGGCCGGCCAGACACGGGGTGTCGGGCGCGCAGGGTCAGTCCCAGCTTTGCAGCTGCCCCGGCCTCTGGCTGAGGGCCCCCACCCCCGCGTGGGGACCCCGGGCGCCGCCACCCCTCCTGTCTCCCCAGTGTGACAGTGGCCCCGCCTGCCCTGCCCCCCACTGTCTCTGGGGAGCCCTCACCCGCCCGCTGACCTGCACCCCAGCTCTTGTGTGCATAAATGAATTTTTTTCCGAGCTGACCCTCACCCCACAACGCCCCCGTTTTCAGTGCGCAGTCGGTAGTTGTGCTTTCACCGGGTTTACGGTGCACCGTGGCCACAGTCGCCGGGGGCAGCAGGCGCTTCCCGCCCAGGCCCAGGCCCAGGCCCGTCTGCGCTGGCCTGTGTGTTGCTGGCCTGTGTGTTGCCTGTTGGACGTTTCCCTAACTGACTCCGGGGCTGGCTCCTCCCGGGGTGCCCCCCCAGGAGGTCTCGCCCTTGGGCCTGGCCCTTCTGGCTGCCCCTGAGTTTGTGCTCAAGCAGGTGAGGACACTCCTCACTTTGTCACGGTGGCCGGGAAAGGGGGTACCCATCTCCCCGGTCCCAAAGAGGGTGGAGCTGAGCCGCGAGGGGGGAAGCAGGACTGGCACGAAGTGTGGAGGGGCCCGCTGGCCTCTTGGCCCTGGACTGGGGACACAGACGTGGCCGGGTGGGTAAAACAAAGGCAGCGTTTGTGCATTTTGATGCTCTTTTCTCCCGGGCGCGCCTGGCTGTTTCTGCTCCTTTGCCATGGTTCCTTGGAAGGGGCTTTATTCGGGGGCGCCCTCTGCCTTGCGCCGGCAGCCCTGCTGGCTGGACCTTTACCCAGAGAGGGGTGACCGCGGTGCCAGGTTTGAAACAGCTTTGCCTTGTCTGCATTAACGTCCTCTCCACCAAAGGGCTCTGTGTTTTGTCTTGACGCAGCGGGTGGCAGACCCTGCTTACAGCGGGCAGGCTTGGGGGTTCTGGGGTGCCCCCTGCCTGCCCTGTAACAAGCTCTGAGCAGGTCCACCTCAGTGTGGACTTCCTGGGGCGTGCGGAGGACCACCAGGCTGTGGACCCCTGCAGAGCCCCACTGAACCACTGCAGGATGGGCCCAGCCACATGCTGCCAGCCTAGCTCAGTCGCACCCCAGAGCTGGGGGACGGGGCTGCTCATGCTGGGCTGGCCTCTGACCGCCTGGCCACGAGGAGCCCGGCCTCCGGCTCTGGGGTCCCTGCGGGGTGGCCCCGGGCCCATGAACTGGCAGGCCCCCGGGGCCTGGGGCCTGGGCCTGCAGGGGAGGGGCCCAGGGGCAGGCAGGGGAGAGAGCCAGGCCCTCCAGGTGGAGGTGGGCGCTGCCTGGATTGGCGCACTGCCCGGAGGTCACCCCGCAGGGCACCTTTCCCTCTCAGTCACCACAGAAGTGGCCAGGGTCACCCCACCAGGTTGGCCGGAACCTGGGGTGCTGCCCAGTGCAGGACAAGGAACCCCAGAGCTAGTCAGTGGGTCCTGTGGACAAGCCTGGACCCCGGTGGGGGTGGGGCGGGTTCCCATGCCCACGCGGTGATGAGACACCAGGCAGCACTGTGGGAAGTGCTGTCTGGGTGACCTGACCTCCAGCATCACCCCGTCCCCTTCCTGCTCCCTGAGACTGGCGCTGTGAGGGTCTCACATGGGGCTGGGGCCTCGCCCTCACGTATCCTGCCCTGGGCAGCCCCCCGTGGCCGCCACTGTCCAGTAGGGCTGGGTGAGGCCTCGCGGGGTCAAGAGGTGGGGGCAAGACTGGCCAGACCTCTGTGGGTCATCAGGCAGGCGGAGGGTCAGTCAGAGCCCCAGAGGGCAGCGAGGGGGAACTTGAGGCCGGGAACGCCCAGCTTGCCCACAGACGCCCCAACCTGAGCTCCAAAGGGGCGGCCGGCCACGGCCAGGGCAGCTGGGACCTGGGCAGGACACCGCCCGGTTCCCGCTTCTGGCCCTCCCAGCTGCGCCCAGCAGCAGGGCCCAGGCAGAAACCCCTGGACTCCGCCCGTGCCCCTCCTCTGCAGGACAGGCGCTAACGCAAGTCAATACAACAGCCTGAGTGAGGGGGCTTTGTGGGGCAACAGGCGGAGCGGCCTTGGCAGAGGGAGCTGGGCTGGCTGGCAGTGCTGAAGCACGGGGGCAGGCTCTGGGAGGTGACCTCGAGCGAGGCTGGCAGCCAGCAGTGAAGGTGTTGGGGGCCTGTTGCAGCTCAGCCTGGTGTGTGGCCTGTTCTGTAGATGAGTCTTATTGGCACACAGCATGCGCCCTCTTACATTCATCTACACTGGCTCGTTTGGTAGCCGCCCCCTATGGCAAAGTCCAGCAGCTGCCAGATACTGCGTGGCAAACAAAGCCAAAAAGAGTTGCTATTTGGGTGATGGCAGGAAAAAAAAAAAAACACAGCTTTTTTTTTTTTACGGCTGCGTGATATTCCATGGTGTGAATGCACACGTTTTCTCATGGGCCTTCGGCTCTCCTACACACCCGTGACTGGGCGTTGGTAAATGGCAAGAGGCGGGACACAAGGTGTGCAGCCCTTTCGCTGGACCAGGAGATGCCCAGTTTCCCAAAGTGACCGAGTCAGCTCTCCCAGTAACACAGGCGAGGGAGGCGAGGCAGCCTTCAGTGGGCTCCTGCGATCCTATGAGTAGTTAGGGTCCTCCAAGTGCACCTCAAGCATGCTGTTGGGACATATTTATTGATTGCTGTTTTTTTAAACATTTGCTTTATTTATCCATAGAAGAGCTGGGTGCAGGGCAGAGGATTCACCAGAGACAGAGTGGGGAGCAGAACAGGCAGATGGACAAAGTACACTGCTGAGGGGGCCGGGCTGGCCTCGGCCCGCAGGGGCCGGGACAGCTCCACAGTGCTGAGACGCGCCCTGCGCCCCGGGAGCCCCAGTTGGGACACCTGTATTGAAATAACGCTCACCTGAAATTCCAAGCACCAGTCGTGGGCCTGTCCCTGCGGAGCCTGGGCTTCCCTGTCCCCTACTTACACCTGGAGTCCTACACTTGGGCTCGTGGACCAGACCGAACACGGTCCACTGCCATGGACTGGGAGCGTACACCAAGGGGCCCTGAATTCTGACTTCAAAACCCGCCACCCGACTTGGGACGCAAGCTGAAAACACTTGTACTAAGTCATTTATGGGTTTGTCCTTTAGGGTAAACAAAGAAATGAAACACTACAAACCTGAACAATGCGGTAAAGACAGAAGGTATTTTAAAAAGCAGGTGAGGTGAACCCAGGGCCCCTCAGCGGGTGGGCGGGAGCAGGCAGGCCTCCCTGGGCTCCTCACAGGTGAGCAGGGGCAGGTGCACCCGCGTCCCTTTTATGTCAAGGGCACTAACTGGATCCTGGAATGGACCAATCAGGTGCGTGCTATGAGCTGATTGGTGCTAAATGGCCCAATCAGATGTGTGGGTGGGGCTCCTGAGCACATATAAGCCAGGGTCTGTGGTGCTGTGATGACTCCAGCCCCTCAGGAGAAGCCAGTTCTGGCTAAGGGTGAAGGCAACGTCCAGGCGCTGACCTCCAAGGCAGGCCCCAGCTTCGGAGGAGGGCATGGAGCCCTGGGCCAGCAGGGGCAGCCCTGTCCCTCCGCCCCTGAGGAGCCCAGGGCCTGGCTGGCATCTTGCAGAACTGTGGGCACTGGGTGTCTGATGCTGCCTCTGGGGACCAGCAATGACCATCCTGTTGTCCAGCGCTGTCCAGACTCCTGGTGACCAGTGGCCAACACCCCTGACACCATCTGGGTGAGGCAGCCGCCCCATGTGGCTACAGTCAGCTCTATCTCCTGCATGTGGGGTCAGGCCCAGGGTGCTCTTCCTGCACAGCTGTTTCTCTAGAACTACTTGTGTGTGACTCTGACTCACCAGTCATGACACACCGTTTAGCCCGTTTGGGCCTGACGCCTGCCTCCTGTCACTTTTTTGTTGTCGTTAAGTATTTACTTATGCAGACAGAACTGGTGTGCAGGCCAGAGGTGCGGGGTGAGAGGATTCCCAGAGACAGAGTGGGGAACAGCACAGGTGATCTCCTGCTGAGGGGGCAGTGTGGAGTCAGGAGGAGTCTACTGCGCCCTGTGGTCACTCCCTGGTGGCGGGAAGCGCTCCCCCGCGTGTGCCTGGCCGGCCTGGCCCGGGGTGTACTGCCAGCAGGTCCGTCTGCACTGTCTCCCGGGCAGGGGTCCCTTTATACAGCTGAGTGATATTCCACGGTCAGGACAGGCTTCAGCTCATGCAGTTTGATTCAAGGAGTATATTTTGCAAGAATTATTTATGCACACAAGAGTTGGGTACAGGCCAGAGGTGAGAGGACTCCCCAGAGACAATGGGGAACAGAACAGGCAGATCCCCTGAGACACACTGCTGAGGGGCAGTGGGGACACAGGAGGAATCTGCTGCCCTGTGGGTCACTCCCTGGCCGGATGGACTCAGGCCACAGTGGCTGGACAGCTTGAGGCCGCTGAGACTTAACCCCTGTGCCCCCAGGGGTGCTCACAAAGAATGTTTTTAAAACCACTGAATTCCCTGCCAGCTTTTAAAAATCAAGAGATTCACACAAAACTCCAAATCTGTCTTGAAAAACCCAAACACAGGGGTCTCCCTGGTGGCAGGGGTCAGGCTCAGCCACTGCAGACTAGTGTGATCCACATCTAGGGAGTGACCCCCAGGATGCAGCAGGCCTCTCCTGTCTCCCTGCTGCCCCTCAGTGGGTCTCAGTGGATCCGCCTGTCCCGCTCCCCACTCTGTATCTGGGGAGTCCTCTTACCCCCACCTTTGGTCTGCACCCCAGTCCTGTGTGCATAAATAAAGTAGCCAAAAAAGAAGCACTGTGCACACAGCAGGCGCTTGGAGTGCAAGCTGCGGCTTCCTTGCTCCTGGCTGTTGGACAGTGGGCAGGAGGTGCCATTCGTTGTGTACCTCCATGGTGTTCGAACCCAGGGACCCAGGCCTAAGCCACTTCCTGTCCTAGCTGTCCTGGCCGCAGTCTCAGCCTGAGGGGAGTTGTTCTCCCACGGTGAACCAGCAGCGTGGCCTTCTGCCTGACCTGTGGTGCCTATCACACCTGCTGCTCTTTGTTGTTGCTGGGATTCAAACTGCACTGGTGCCTTTTTCAGGGCTGCGTACTATGCCAGGGCGGCCCAGAGCTGGGCAGCACCTGTGCTGAGCATCTTGGCACCCACACCTGGCTTTATGGCCACCTCATCACAACAGAGGCAGTGTCCAGCACCAGAGGGACCCTGAAAACCCACCTGTACCCACACAGAATCCCTGCAGGCTACGCCCCTGACTATCCTGGTCACCCTGGCTGGTGGAGCTTCCTGACCCACTCTGCTGCTGCCCATCCTGCTACGGTGTAAGCAGGGGACACGCACCAGCGTTGGGACTTGGATTCAGCACCCGCACGCACACGGGGGAGGCGCATATGCAGAGTGTGCGCTTTGCCCTCTGGGAGCTGTAGGCAGCTGGGGCCTTTGTCCAATACCACCTCACAGCCTGGGGAGGGCAAGCTGCTGCTCCTCGCCAGCCTCACCTTCCCCCGCCACTTAGCAGGCTGCGCCCCAGCAGGTGCCCCGCGGCATCATTTTTTCTGAGAACCCTGAGTGGGGTTGAACAGGACAGAGGGAGGTGAGGGAGCCCCGGAGGGGGCGCCGGGTCTGCAGCCTGATTGCCTTCTGCGGAAGGGCCGCAGGGAGCACGAGCTGCCCCTCCTGGGCCCGGGCAGGCAGGTAAGTGTATGGGCCATTCAGCGAGACCCAAGTTGGCCTTGGCACCTCCCCACCCCCCTGCCCCTGCAGACACTTGGCCTGCAGGACTCCTGGACCCCAGTAACTGCATAGGCTACTGGGGTAACTCAGGGATGGCAAACAGAATGGGGAGCGCAACTGGCAGATCAGGCCCTGTGGGTCTGGGCCGGCCCCACCACGTAGACCTGTTTCTTCTGAACTGGTGTCTCCCACAGGACCCAGACGTTTATTGTCAGAACTGCCTGGTGCTGCTCCTCAACATGAGCCTGAATCTTGGGGGGTGGTGACAGGACTGACTCCACCCATCGCCACGGGTCCTGCCCTTAGGCCCTGGCCCTTCCTCGGTTAAGTCTCCAGACACTGAAGTGCTTGAGAGCTGTCACCGGTCGCTCACGGGGTGCACCTGTCAGCTCTGCTGGCTCTGAGGGGGGCCACACTCACCACCACCCCTTTCTCCTGACTACTTCAGGCAGGTGAGCACCACACCCAGTCAGGTCCCAAATGGAAGTCCCACCCCAGGCGCTTCCCATCAGTTACCCTCAAGATACACCCGTTAGGAATGACAAGACAGCCCTCAGGCTTCCACAACTATTTTTACTCAGGAACCGGGGACAGAAGACCCAGTATCATGACAGAAGTTGCCCCCACGGCCGGGGGCATGCCAGGTTCTGGGGGCTGTGGATGAGACCAGGCGACGAGAACGATCTTGGTCATCTCAAACATCTGTTTCCTGTAAATCACAAAAGTACAGTTACCTTTCAGATTCCTAGATCTTCAGCTAAGACCCCAAGGTTCTCAGGGCCAGAGGCAGCAGTATCTGGAGAGCGCAGGACAGTGGGGTGGCGTATGGCGTACGGGCTCCACGGCTGGACGCTTGCAGAAGCAGCTGCCTCGTTCCTCTTTCGAGGTCTCCCCCACCCCGCGCCCTCCCTCCCTACTGCTGGCTTGACGACCTCAAGAGCAGCGGTGTTACCAAGCCTCACAAAGCAAACAGCACTGCCACCGAAGCCCTCAGAGCTGTCTGGCCTCTCAGGCCCCAACTGGCTCAATCCGAAGCAGTGTCCCAAGAAGCGGCCCACCAAGACCCAACACAGGAAATGATTCTTTGCCCTGGGCCCAGAGCAGCTTGGGCCTGGCCCCTCTAGCTTCCATCTGCCTCCCGCCCGCCCCTGCTGAGCCCCATCTGGCCTCGTTGCTGAAACTGGGTTCCCCCAGAACCACCTCTTCTGGCAGCACCTTGTTGTTTCTGATCGGATTATTGGAGTGATTCATATTACATTACTACGTGGTAGTACATCAGTGATGTATGATTTATAATAGGAAAAAAATCATACGCGACTCCAATCCGCTATAAAACCATTTATTTTGCCATGATCGGCTTCCAGTCTACATCTGACGTGCGCCTGCTCTACACAGCTGAACCACAGCCAAACTAGTTTCGTCTACTTGGTGATTGTTGCCAGATGAGAAACTTTCGGCTTGAGAACAAACCCTTTATCATGATGGTTGACCATGGCTGTAGGGTACAAATCAGAAGTGCCCTTAACACACAACAGGGAGCTGTTCACGGAAGCAGAACTCAGTGACTTTTCATTCAAACAAAGCAACAGATCGAGGCCTCGGCAGCAGCCCTCCCCGCCTTAGCGCGAGTCTGCCTCAGTCTGTGCTGAAGAGGGAGAGGGTCATTTTCACTCACGAGCAATTCTCTCATCCAGCTACCCTCCTGGAATGAATCCTCAGCACCTAGGGGACTTGAACACAGAAATACATTCAAAGAGTGAAGTGGAATGTTGTACGGATTCTCTTGTCAGCAGGTCTCTGCTGACACAGCAAAGAGTAAGCGCTCTCACTGCCCACACGATCTTGCCAGAGTTTGCTTATGTACAGTAAGGCGGATGGCCCCGTCCAGGGGTCCTCGCGTGGGTGACTTACGGAACACGTTCACAGCTCCTTCAGGTCCACGCTCTGATGGAGGAGGGGGTGGGGACCTCCCGACAGGCACAGGCTGTCATCCAGTGTGCGCACTACCACGCGAGGTACGGTCTGGAGCCTTCTCCTGTCACCGTCCTATGTCCTCTCCGTGAGCTCCCGGCACGGAGACTTAGCAGTATGGCTGAGCACCGTCTCACACTCAGTATTCACGGGTAGCCTGAGGGACGCTCTTCTGCGGAGAGGTGGAGCCCCCCCCCCAAAAAAAAACATTCCTTCTAGACACAGATCTTAGACAAGTCGGCAATGAGCGTGGCTCATTCATTAAGTTTCATGGGTGGCTCTCCAGGGTGTGTCCTCTGGTGTCGGATGAGGGACGAGCTCCTGCGAAATGTCTTCCCACACTGCGGACACCGGCTGGGGCCCGGCCTGCTGTGAAGCCTCTGGTGTACTGCCAGGTGGGAGTTCTGCTTGAAGGACTTTCCGCATTCTGGACACCGGTACGGCGTCTCCTTAGTGTGGATCCTCTGGTGCTTGCTCAGACAGGAGCTGTCCCTGAAGGCTTTGCCACACTGATTACACTCGTAGGGCTTCTCACCAGTATGAGTCCTCTGGTGTCGGATGAGACCAGCGATGTTCCGGAAAAGTTTCTGACACTGGTTGCAGCCATAGGGCTTCTCGCCAGTATGGATTCTCTGGTGCCTGATGAGGTAAGCACTCTCGATGAAAGTCTTCCCACACTCTTTACATTCGTAGGGCTTCTCTCCAGAATGGATTTTCTGATGCACGATGAGGTGAGAGTTACGGTTGAAGGACTTCCCACACTCCACGCATTCAAAGGGCTTTTCTCCAGTGTGAGTCCTCTCGTGTTGGGTGAGGTAGGAGCCATCTCGGAAAGCCTTCCCACATTTGCTGCATTCGTAGGGCTTCTCCCCAGTATGGATTCTGATGTGCACGGTGAGATGGGAGATATCTGTGAAAGGCTTCCCGCACTCATTACACCTATACGGTTTTTCCCCTGTATGAGTCCTTTGATGCAAAATCAAAGATGAATTTCGGTTGAAAGTTTTCCCACATTCTAGACATTCGTAAGGTTTCTCCCCGGTGTGAATTCTCTGGTGCTGTGTCAGCGCAGAACCATCACTGAAAGCTTTCCCACATTTACTGCATTTATAGGGCTTCTCTCCTGTGTGAATTCTTTGATGTACTATCAGATTGTAGTTTTTGGAAAAGGACTTTCCACACTCATTACAAGTGTAAGGTTTTTCTCCAGTGTGAGTTCGGTGATGCAACACGAGAGAAGAGTTCCGCTTGAAGCACTTGCCACACTCAGTACATTTATACAGTTTTTCCCCAGGATGATTCCTTCTGTTTTCACTAAGAGAAGAACTGAGGGGGAAAATGTTCCTAAAGTCCTTATCTCCATACAGTTCCTTCCCTCTTTTCACTCCTTTTTGTTCACCAAGAGGAGCAAAATGGCTGTAAGATTTAACAGTGTCAGGGTATTTGTAGGCTTTCTCTCTCGTGGGATTTCTTCCACGTTGGACAGCTTCCAAGGAATGCTTGCAAGCTTTTTCACAGGTCTCACCGTCACTGGTTCTTTCTGCTGCACAACTTTTCTGGTAAATCTGGATAGTCGGGGCACAATCCAGACCTTTACCAGCTGAGTCGCATATACGGAAGCCATTCGTTGTCGGGAGTCTCTGACCCGGCGCCAGGTGTGTGCTTGCACTGAAAAGATCCCCAAATTCAGGATATTCACAAACTGCTTCCCGCGTTTCTGGCTTCTCCTGAGTTAAGCCTGATTTCCTCAAATGTCCCTCCAGGTCCTTGCAGTCCCAGTTGTCACCTGGAGTGGAAAAATGGCATCCCTCTTTCATAAGTTCTTCCATTTCCTTGTCACAGGATATCTGCTCCTCGGGAACAGGCTGAGCTGTCATTTTCAATCTCAAGTCCCAGGCTAAAAGAAGAGAACAAATAAAGACAGGCTGAATGACAAGTTACATGAGAAATAAAAACTAATGAGCAGCAAGGCCCTTGGGTGTGTATTTGCGCTTTCCAATTCACATCTACAGGAGGAGGTAAACTGAGTCAGGGGATGGCGCCAAGAACAAATCCGAAGAGAGTCCATGCACCACTGTCATCCTCCCAGAGGAGGCAGGAGGAGCAGAATCGGGTGACTATAGCACCGCTGTCTTCCGGGGCGGATGCGAGAGTCTCGGTGACTGGACGGTTCTGGGAGGCCTCGGACGGTCCATGAGCGCTCTGCAGGGCCGTTTCAAGAATGACTGTCTGAGGGTAGCTCTGAGCGAGAGGCACTGACAGCGACCGCTGACACCCTTACCTTTTACAGCGTCCTCTGACTACCCTTCGACCCCTTGGTTTCAAGATGTCAAGATAACTGACTCCTCATATCTGCTTTAGGTGAAATGAAATTAAGATCCTTATCTCAGAAAATATATAATTTAAATTCGAGGAGGAAAAAGACCTCCGCGGACAAAGCAAAGTTTCAATCTGCAGTCTCCATCAGCAAAAACTACACAGGCAAAAGGATTCACGCATTTGACATTAAAAATAAAATTCCACTACAAGCCGCAGTAAGATGCAAACAAATGGCAGCTGGAAGGAAAATACTAAAATATGAGACCAAGGTTATCGACAAAGAATTTTTACGCAACAGCACGAAAAAGAAAAAGGTGGGTGAGGAATACAACGAACTCCACGTGAGACAACAGAAATGTCCCGGAAACACGCACCTGCCATTCTCACCACCCGTCATCACAAAACAAGAGGGTGTGGGCACAGAAAGCCCGGGCAGGCCGTCAGGAAGGTGAGGGTGGCACGGAGCAGGGTGGCTCTACCCAGCGGGGGGCTCGGCAGCAGCCCTGGAAACACAGGAGACACGGCCCTGGACTCGGGGTTCCGCGCCAGCCTCGTGTGGCCCCAGCATGAACGGACGCCCGCCTACACCAAGGAGAGTCTTCAAGGCCGGAAAGGGGAGCACGGAGAGCGGAGGGTTACCTTCAAAGTGCTGAGAAGAGAGAAATGGTGAATGTGAATTTAAAGTGCATTCTAGCCCGTGAGTCCGCAGAATGATCCAGCCTCAGATGAGGGAATCCCACCGGGTGTTGCACACCTCCCTGGTGGTGCAACAGGTCAAAGCGCAGCAGTGCGGGGCTGTCCGATCCCCGGCGGGGGGGTGACCACAGGGCGGGCAGACTCCTCCTGACCCGCCCACCCACCCACTGTACTTCGTGGGTCCGCTTGTTCTGCGACCCCACCGTGAGCCCTCTCACGCCCCGCACCTCTAGCCTGTGCTCCAATTCTTGTGCGCATAAATAAATAAATCAAAAAAGAAAAGCAAAGAGCATAAAACAGGTTCTCCTCAACAGCAGCAAATATAAATGCCCCCGATGGGCCTCGCAAAGACACTGTGTCGGAAGGGGTTTTAAATGTGCTTGTAACAGAAGCAAAAGGATGGAGAAGTTACGAACAAAAAGCACAGAACAGACAAATGCTAATAAAGACTTAAATGGCCCTTTGATAACCAATGTTATCAAATAATCAAACAGCAATAAAATAACGGCACAGATTTCTACATCGTTTTTAAGGATTTATTTATGCATAAAGAACTGGGTGCAATGTCTTTTGCAGCAACTTGGATGGAGCTGGAAAAGATCATGCTCAGTGAGATAAGCCAGAAAGAGAAAGAAAAATACCGGATGGTTTCGCTCAGAGCAGGAGTATAAAGGACCAGGCGAGAAAATAACAAAAATAATGAACAACCATAGACCAGAGACATTTTGTGGGGGTGGAGTGGGGAACAGGATCAAAAAGGGGGCGGGGGGGTGCACGGGATTTTGGTGATGGCACACGGGTGACACAGTGATGGGAAACCCGCGGGGATGACAATTGAGATGGAAAAAAAAATGTACAAAATGATGTAAAAATAAACTTTTGTAAAATAAAAAAAAAAGAACTGGGGTGCAGGACAGAGTTGCAGAGACAGTGGGGAGCAGAAGAGACGCATCCACGGAGACACACTGCTGAAGGAGCAGCAGGCGGACAGGGGGGATCTTCTGCGCCCTGGCCCACTGCAGGGTAGCTGCGAGTGCTGAGACTAGCCCCCGCACCCCCAGGGAGGCCCCAGATTTCTACAGAAACAGCAAACACCAAATTCCCCCCAAGGCCACCAGGGTGGCAAGGTGGGAGAATCAGCAAACCCTACAGTACTAGGATTTTTCGACAAACCTTCAGAAATTTGGAAAAATCGAAGCGATAAGCAGGAGAGGAAGTGACTGGCCAGTCACACAGCTGCCCGGCAGTGGCGCCCTGAGAGCCCAGCACAAGGGGCCCTGCTAGCTGCTCCGAGCCAGGCTCGGGTGAGGCCGGACCACGCCGACGAGCGCAGCCAACTTAGGGCGGGAACAGCAAGAAAACGGGATGCGAGCAACTGAGTAAAGCCAGCCACTGTGACTGCGCGGGAAGTCACTGGGTAATTCACAGATGCCAGAGGAAGCTGGACAGAAAACACCGAGTCCCAGGGAGAGGGCTTCCCCGAGCACACACCCGAACGCACGCAAACCCTCAGGGGTCACCGGCTACGCGGTCTGGCCGACGCTGCACACCTGCAGTGCTGTCACGCCGCGCGTCGCCCTGACAAGGCGAAGTGACAGCAGCCAGCCAGGCCCTGGGCACCGAGCGCTGCCGGACTGGCAAGGGGGCGGGCACGGAACAAGTCTGCTGCGCTCCCGCGTGCGAGGACAAGTGAGACCAGCAGGCAGCTGCGGAAACAACCGGCCTCGGCGCCTTCGCAGGAGGGAGACGCCGGGAGGGAAGTGAACAGCCCCGAGCGCCGCCGCGGAGGGCGGAGGGAGAGCACAGCCCAGACGGGCGCCCCGGCTGCGCCCGCGCGTCGGAACCCCGAGGGGCCGGGACGGACGCGCCAGGACGTTTGTGCAGGACGAGAAGGGGCCAGGGCGCTGCCGCGACTGCCCACACCCTGGGGTGGGGCAGCACGGGGAGCCCCAGACAGCGCTGGCGGGCGACGGGCGCCACCGGGCGCCACCGAGGCGCAAGGGGCCCGGGCGCGCCGGCGCCCCGACCAGGGAGCCGAGGCCTCTGCGGCTGCACCTCAAAACTGGGCTCTGAGGGTTAAAGACGCGGCTGGAGGCCGGAAACACGGTGACCGCTGGGCGGCAACCAGGGTCCCGGGAGACCAGGGCGCCCGCGGGGATCGCTGCAGCGGGACGGGAAAGGGGCCCCGGGCGGAGGCCTGCGGACGCCGCGTGCCCCGCGGGAGAGCGCC